GTGAAGATCGGTTTTTTAATGCTTTCATCTTATCAAAAGAAGTGGTACATATTGTACCTTGTTAAAATATTAATAAACCATCCATTCGTGGAGGGGTTGCTGATACTCTTAAATAACTAAGCTCACACAGGCTCACTGTGTGGCTCTCAGCCACCTTCTCAGTGGGCAACCACAGGAATCAATACAACGAGCAGATTCACGGCAGAAAGCGCTCTGTCTCTGTATCTGTTGCTGTCGGGCGCCATGGAGTCAGTTCCGACCCACAGCAACCCTGCACGTGCAGAAGAACGACTCACAGCCCGGTCCAGCACCACCATCACAGCTGTTCTTAGGTTTCAGCCCATTGTTTCAGCCACAGTGCCAACCCACCCGTCCCCAGGCAGGTCGTGAGTGCCTTGCTACCTAAGGGGCTCATCTTTTGCACGACATCAGTCGATGTTCTGCTGGCATTCTTGCGGTCTTCAGGGGCAATGTTCTCACAAGTGGGCTGCCAAACCTTCTCCCCGTCTCACTTATCTGGAAGCTCTGCCCCACAGGCATTTGTAATACCGGCAACATCGCTTCCAGCCTCACGCAACATGCAAGCTCTCACAGTACAACAAACTGACAGAGGAGTGGTGGGGTCCCTGTCTACAGATCCTCATGTCAGCTAGGAAACATCACGTGTGCTCTAACCTCTTCCTGAACAAAATGTTTTCAAGTCCGTCCTTTGTTTGACAAATGATTGAAAACTCCATCCCTGGCTATTTTTGTGGCTCCAGGTCTGCACGGTGTGGCTAGAGCAAAAGCACACGGTGGTCCACATACCAACCATGTACACCTTAGGCGGCGTAGTACAGGAGAAAAACCACTCTAGTGTATAGACAGAAGCATAGAGAGAGATTTATTTCAAGAAAGTGGTTCAAGCCATTGTGGAGTCTGGCAAGGTCCAGCTCTGTGGGTCAGGCTTCTCCGAACACATGACGTTCCACAGGCCTGATGAACTCAAAATCAACAAGTCAGAAGTCAAGCTGCTGGCTCACTCCCAAGAATCAGAGAAAAGGATGATTATTACATAGTATCTGTCAAACCACCAAGAGTCATGACCTAGCCAAGTTGACACAGAACAATAACGGTTACAGATCCTCATGGTCAACTCGGCACTTGTGTACATCTCCTTAAACTATACATGACCTCTAAATAAAGACAATTATGAAGTCATATTTACTCCTGCCATGGGATAACAAGCTTGTGAACAACCAAAATGGCACTGCCTCATTTACATCTTACATTTTATAATAAGCAATGGAGTAAGGGAGGGAAGAAAACAATTTACACACACACACACACACACACACACCAAAGGGGCTTCAAAAGTTCATGGAAAAATAAAACAATGGAATTTTTCTACAAAGTTTTTTATTCTCCCCTCGTATATACACACATACAATGCAAAACAAGAAATAAATATTAAAAGAAAATTAGAGTCCTCAGTTCTATAATGGCCACATGGTAGTAGTTGGTATTTAGAAATCTTTTCTCCCACCATCCATTCTGTATTTATACCTTTTGCTCTCAGCAAGCACCTCAAATGGCCATGACTCTGTACCTGGGAGTAACCCAAATCCTCATCCCAGAAGGGTCTGGGCCATCAGTAGTGATGCTGGAATTGGGTTGCTATAGTTTCATCACTGAGAAGTCCTAAGGAATCTCCTGCATTTCACACATATTTTTCTTTACGCTCTCATGTAACACAAATCGCCTTCCCTTTGGTCATCAGGGCCAATCACACCATCCAATAAAATAACTTCCTTGTTTTTCTGTTGATGCAGATGCGTGAGGAGCCCAAAGTGATCCAAGGGGTGTTATTAACTTTCTGTATGATTAAGTCAGTATCAGGTCTCCAGGGAAGAGTACTCCTCTCTTTAGAACTAAGGCCCGTCAGCCTCAAAAGGCATACGGTTGTGGGATTGGGGGGGGAAAATTTCCAGATGGATCACTAGGAGGAATAGTAAAGGAAGCCTCTTCCATTTCCATCATTTGGTTCCTGCCCCATGAATCCTGGCAATGGAAGAAACTGCACATTTACTGGAGACTGGTTGAGAGAATCGTTAGCCTATTGGAGAACAGCCCCCCCCCCCCCCACACACACACACACACCCTGCTGCTACCTAGCTGGGCATTCCACACGCCATCACACCATTACTTCAGAGCAACGGCAAACACGATAAGTGAGATCAGTGGATTCGACAAGCATGGGCACATTACCACACTTCGTTTGTTTAGAAGCGAGTTCCCTGATCTTAGGCAATGCTGCATGGGATACCAAGACAGTGGATACGGTGTTGTGTAAGTCCATCGAAGGTAGTCTTGGCAGAAGACTGCACGTAGAGGAGGCAGATCCATATCTACGGTGTCTTTCCCAGTACGAATGGAACAGTAGCTTTTCCAGGATGGAACTCCTCCAGTGAAATCCACCTGTGCTGTCAGAGCTGGTTGAGCGCCCCTAGAACCAGTCCCCTATCACAGGCTCTGTGCTGACCTCTGCTCCTCCGCTTGGCACTCAATAGTGGCTGTCGTGAAGTCAGCCTTAGTGCGTTGAAGGGCATGTTGCTGAGCCCACGCATAACCTCTATCCTGGCCACCACGAACTCTTTGCTCATAAGCCCACTGGGCAATAACAGGAGTGGTTGGAGAAAGAGGCTGGCTGGTATACAGAGGGCGTCATCCTATCTGTACAATTGTTAAAACCCTTCTCTGACTAAGTCAACATTGGGGAGCATTTACACGAGACACAAATATCTACATCTCTTTAGTCTATACACAGGTTTACCCACATACCTTCCTCACACTTTCTTGTCACCAATATTCTAATCTTGTTCCTTCCAAATCCTAACCTTCAGCCAAATCATTAGCCGCATTGGATAAATCAGTAGACGTACACCGTCCAAACAAAACGAACATGCAGGTGCTTGGGATTTCCCTTCACCGCTGTGTTTCAGGGCTTACTGTGTCCCAAGACTAGGGACAAAGCTAGAAACAAGTTGGCGAAAGCGGGTCCTGGTGACATTTGGCATCGGCTTGTAAGCCACCTGTCTCAGGTAATGTCCCAGGTGGTGCCCCAGGCAATCTGTCGGCAAAGACTCTTCAGCAACAGCTGGATTGATCTGAGCAAGAAGGAACAATGTCTTTTTTGCTGGGGAGGGTGACCTAGATGACAGAGGTGGAGAATCACTTCAGATGGAAGTAAGAGGGCTGGTTCTCTTGGTAAACATGAATGGACAGAATTTAGGGGCTCTATGTGCCCGGCTTCCTAATCAATGGTCCATACGTCCCCACTCTCTTTTCTTCGTAATCATTGCCTTTGCGTTGGTTTCCGACATCATTAAAGTGGGGAATTCATTCAGTGTTATCATTTATAATCAAGCCATTCTTATGAGCCGAGTCTGAGTTTGTTTTCTGTCTTTATTTGCTGTTACTATAAGAAATAGGGTTTATTTCCCAGGGACAAGTAGCAACTTTCCGGCCTTATGTGTGATGCTTGAGCTGTGAGTCCAAAGCCCTGAGCTCATCTTTGTTTCACCATTTTGTCCAGCAAAACACAAGGTCAACCAACCAGCTTCCTTACATAAGAGCACTTCAAAAACCTGTGGGAAAACTCTGTGTTCCACGAGTTCAAGTTCTATGGGGAGGAGGAGTTCTGGAGGACAGCAAGACGGGACTCTTTCAAATTCGGGGACAGAGCCGGTACGTCTCCTGCCCAGGTCTCACAGTCAGGCTGCAGGGCTCTCCATACATCCCTGATGCTTGAATGCCAGGTTTTCTTTCTCACGTGATCATTCCTAGCCACGATTCTGGTAAATGTCACCACTTCGCAAGATCTCAGTATGACTTTGCCCTTCAAGTGCCTAGAAAGAGCCCTTTGGATCTTATTTCTATCGTGTCATTAAAATGTGAGTTGAGGAAAAAACAAATGACCACGTCTTTGTCCCATCCTTCACCACAGTCCTTATCACGCCTGACCCGAGGTGCAATCCCGGCTTGAGGAATGGCACAAACCCAAAATGAATGCACACACACACTGGGGAGAGAGAAGAAAAGGGGATAGAGTCGTGACCCCTTTGTGGGTCATGCAACCCTTACACAGGGGTCACCCGATTCATAACAATGGCAAAATTACAGTCATGAAGTAGCAATGAAAATAATTTTATGGTCGGGGGTCACCACCACATGAGGAACTGTATGAAAGGGTCGCGGCATTAGGAAAGTGGAGAAGCACTGGCCTAAAAGGAGCCATAGAAAAGTATTCAGACGGCACCTGTCACAGCAAGGCACCTGTAAGACCTAGAAAAACCAGGCCGTCCCGTCTAGCTCTGTCTCTCAGCTTTTTAGGTGTCTGGAAGCTGGGAACCGTGAACCTGAGTATTTCAGGTTTAGGAATTTAAAACAAAAACAGAGAGACCTAAGGCCCCCAAGGAACCAGCCTCTTCCTCTGCTCTGAGCACATGACCCCAAAGTTGATTTTGCTCCACACTCTACAAGGGACTCATGACAATGTAAGATTCTCCCCGACCTCCAAGAGAAGCATGTGTTTGTTGTGTAAAAATGGGTACTCCTATGTGGATACCTCGTTTTTATAGCTGTCCATAGCTGCCAGGTCAGTTCAGGTCCACGAGCAGTCAATTCAAGCACTTGTGAGGGGGAGATGTGGTTGGTTTGTGTCTTTTAATGTTCTATTGTGCTTTGGGTGAAAATGTCCAGAGCAAATTGGTTTTCCATTCAACAATTCATATACACTGTGTCTGGTAACACTGACTGCAATCCCCACAATGTAACAACAGTCCTCCTCCCCCGCCCTCCTTGTGGTACACTATCCGTCTGTCCCTCTATCGGTCTTTGTTCCAGGTAAGAGAGACCCATAGTTGCAGCACATATGCACGCTCTGTCAGAACTACTCCTAGATCCAAGGGTGGAGGCCTGTTTGCCCCCCAACCCCCCCATCCCCCTCCCCCGTTCAGCCTGAACAGCCACCTAGGAAGGACTTTCATGAAAAGGCCGAGCAGGACTGCTGTGCGTGTGATAGTATCGGCCTTTCTTGCCTTTACCACGGGCACTACCCTCAATGTCTTCCTTTGACCTGATCATTTGGTGCTGGTTCCCCTTTCCTGTATATTTTCTGTTCCTTCCCTCAGCACCCGTGTCTACTCCTAGGAATGGACGATTCTTAGACCAAATGAAGAATTTTAATGTCACTAGAATAGCATCTGTTTGACAGAAAAATTAGATGTTTGTCCTTCTTTCCCCTTCCACTCACTGTGTGTCACTAACGAAATAAAACAAAAATTTTCCACTGTCATGGATCATACGAATATTGTAGGTATAGCATCCTGCATGCTTTATTATGAACACTTTTTGACATCCCTGAGCAAATGACAGTAATTCCCAGTGGGTGCAGACTGGGTGGCACCATGGTTGAGCACGAAGCTGCTAGTGGGATGGTCCAAGGTTGGAACCCACCACCCACTCCGTGGGGAGAGACGGGAGAAACGTGGCCATCGATCCACTCCGTAGGGAGAGACGTGGCCGTCCGTCTGCTTCTGCAAAGAGCACGGATTTGGAAACCCTCGGGGGCAATTCCACCATGTCTTATCAGATCCCTATGTATCTATGTTGGTTTGAAATGGGCTTAGCTTTTATGTACACTGTATAGAAATCAGTACCATTTATATTTGATTATTTATTTACTTACCTCCCTTGAGTAGCTTTGGAATAAATAAAATTTCTATAGCCATCTGCCCTCTGTAGAAACATCCATATTTCAATATATTCAGTCGTGAGTTTTCAAGATGAATATTCGGCAGAACTGGGAAAAGTCTGCTTCCATGAAGTTATAGTCTTGGGACTCCTGGGGGCAGTTCTACTCTGTCCTATAAGCTTGCTATGACTTGGCATCAACTCTATGGCGGAGAGATTTTTACTCTATTTTGGGGTTAGGAAGTTTTGTTAGAGTAAGACTAGAACAGATTAGTGAGGGATTCCAAGGTTCTCATTATGGGAGGGTTTACTTTGGATTAAACCTTTTATTTACATGTATCAGATACCTGTAGAGAAGAGTTACCATTTGGAGAGTTCCAAAGATAGTTACAAAATCAGTAAATGCTTAAATGATGCAACTCCCGTGTCTTCTCAAGGACCTTGCTAGCCAAACATTTTAGGGCATCTGCTGCGTGCTAACAGGAGCTGCAAAATGCCTGCAGGGCTCCCTTACTGTCCCTGCAACCAAGCAAGTAAGTCCTGACTCCCCGCAGACCTGACAATAAACCATTTTTATTAATAGTTTCTCTGGATATTTTTAGCCTCCCATAAGATCAGAAGATATAAAATCTTGCTGAAACATAAAACCAGAGAGAAATATTCTTTTCCCCAGGAAATGGAAGCGGAGAACTTTCTGGGCCCACTGTGTGAACTCGCCACTCTTTCGGCGGATAGTGATGAGGATGAAAACAGACACCACACATTTGAGTACGAAATCATGCATCTGGCATGTAAACCAAAGTATCCCCAAATGGAAAAAAATTACTGAACATCACATTAATAAATGTAAAGTGGTTGATTGGAGAGAAAAATGGAATTTTAATTTTACTCTCACAAAACCTTTTCTAACAAACAGTGCTGACACAGAGTCACAAACCTTACAGGGCAAAGCAGAACTGTCCCCGAGGGTCTCCAAGGCTGTAAGCTTCAGGGAAGCAGGAAGCCACCTCTTTTTCTTGGGGGGGGTGGAGGGGGGCGTTGATGGATTCAAATCACCAGCCTTTTATTATCAGCAGTCGAGCACTTAACCACTGTTTAACGCTGAGGCCCCTTCAGCCATTTCTACTCACTCCTACCTAGTTTCTCAATTAACACTAATCGTGTCTCTTAAATGAAAATTCTCATTAAGGTCCCATAAACTAGCTCTTTAGTCAACCTCAGAAATTGCTTTATGTAGCAAAGTTTTCCACTTACCACTCCTCCAAAATATTTTCCTATATAGAAGTCATCGAGGCTGTGGAGCTCAAGATAGGTGGCCCCGAGCTCTTTGGCGAGTTGGATCCCCTCGGTGGTACTGACGCAGCTCCCTCGGTCGGAGGTACAGAGTGGGCATGTGCAAGGTAATTCTTCTGAGAAAATGATTTGAATAACAGAAGAGTTTAAAGTTACACAGAAAAGAGAATATGCAGACCAAGCGAGCACCGAATAACAAATTAAGAACTCATATCTAAGGAGCCTGGGTAGCCTAGTGGTGATGCACTGGGCTGCTAACCTCGAGCTCAGTAGTTCAAAACCACAGTTGCTCCTCAGGAGAAATATGATGCTTTCCATTCCCATGAAGTGCTATAGTCATAGATACTCACAATGGCAGGTCTACCCTACTGACTCGATCGCAGTGATCCCTGTTCGAGCATCTTCAGTAAATCTACCATCTACAAACTCTGAATCGAAAGTGTCGATAGTAATGCACAGGTCGAATTAAGTAAGCCTTAACTGCAACAAGAATGAGTACTGTTCTAGAAAACTGAAAACTGGTGGATGCACAATATCAACATTCACTTAGTGACTAGAGAGCAGCCAGCCAGTGATGACGCCCTGCTGCCTTGACATGCTGAGCATCATTCTTCCTCAGCTAGTAGGCAAGTATACAAATTAAACAACGTAATGATGCATACAGAACATGGAGAGGAGTGAGTTGCCTATATATATATAAATATATATATATATATATACACCTTAAATATATCATCAGAGAAGCTGAATTATATGAAGAATGTGGCATCAAGCTGGGAGGAAGGCTTATGAACATACTGCAGGTTGTTAATGACACACCGTGCTTGCTGGATGTGAGGAGGAATTGAAACACCGGGTGATGAAGATCACAGATTGCAGCCTTCAGTATGGACCGCAACTCACTGTAAGGAAGACCAAAATCCTCATCACTGGACCAATAAGTAACATCATGATAAATGGAGAAAATGTTCAGATTGGGAAAAAAAAGGTCCAAGTTGTTCAGGATTTTGTCTTGCTTGGATCTAAAATCAATGCTCATGGAAGCAGCAGTCAGACATCAGAAGGTCTCTTGATAGTACAGGGTCGTACAGTGTTTTGGTCTGTTACGCACAGGGGTGCTTTGGTTCAGAGCCAACTCAATGGCACCTAGCAATAACAACAACAACAACAACATATTCACCAAGTCTGAATAGAATCCTCAGTTTTCTGGGGTATCCAAGACTGCAAGTTGCCACTCTTCATAAATTTCACATAAAGTATATTCTCATGAACCTAGACATTTAAATTATTAAACCAAATCATTAGATTCTGCAGATTCAGAGACCAAATTCAGTTTTTTTATCCTTTTCAGCAACATTATTTTTTTAAATAGGAGGAATAAAGAGAATTTCACTCAAAATTTGAACTCCCTCATTTCTATGTCTAGGATTACTGTTGTAGGTAGGTGTTGGTACTGCTGGCACATAGCGTTGGTGCTGACCCATAGCAACCCATCCACCACAGAACAAAAACTGCATGGTCCTGGACTATCCTTCCAATTGTTCTTATGCCGGAACCCGCTGTGCAGCCAAGCTGTCAACCCAGCTCACTGGGGCCTTCCTCTTTCTTTCTGCCCCTCCACTTTCCCAAGCAGCTTGTCTTTCCCAGGGACTGGTCTCCCCTGACAATGTATGTAAAGTATGGAAGACAAAGTCTTGCCATCCCTGCCTCTAAAGAACACTCTGGCCTTACTTCTTCCAAGACAAAACGGTTTATGCTTTTAGCAGTCCACAGTGTTTTCTATATTCTTCTCCAGCACCATAATTCAAACGCATCAATTCTTCTTCAGGATGTCTTATTTAACCCAACTTTCACATGCATAGGAGGCAATGGAAAATACCGTGACTTCAGTCAGGCGCACTGTAGTCCTCAAAGTAACAGCCTTGCTTCTCAATGCTCTAAAGTGGTCGTGTGCAGCAGATTTACCTAATGCCACTCAGCTTTTGATCTCTTGACTGCTGCTTCCACGAGCATGGATTGTGGATCCAAGCAAGACAAAATCCCTGACAATTAAACTTTTCCGCCATTTATCATGATGTTGCCTATTGGTCCAGCTGTGAGGATTTTGGTCTTCCTTACATTGAGTTGTAACCCACATGGAAGGCCACAATCCTTGATCTTCATCAGCAAGTGCTTCAAGTCCTCTTCACTTTCAGCAAGCAAGCTGTGTCCTCTGCATACTACAGGTTGTTAATAAGCCCTCCTCCGATCTTGATACCACATTCTTTATATGTCGGCTTCAATGAACTTAGCCTAAGAGCATTTTCTCTCACAGAGCTAAACATGTGTTCTCAACTCTTTGTTTTCTTTGTTTGCTGCTGCTGTTGCTACTTTCCATGACCACCATACTCGATGTGCACAGGTTGTTAAGTTAAAAGAGGGGGCTTCAGGCCCCTAAAAGAGAAATGCATGCAGCCGTCGATGACCCCCTAGGAAATGAGGCTCGGAGACCGACTGTGTGCAGGGCGGCTAGAGGGGAAGGGGAGGGTGATCCCGGGAAGAGTTCTTCTCAGGGGTGACAGCCATGGGACTGGGCAGGGAAAGGGCTGAATTGCGATGCAGCTGCAACAAAGAGCTCAGTCAGTCTTACAGGACACTTCAGGGCCCGGATGGCCATGTAGAGGCGGTTCTCCATTTGGGGAAAGAAGGCTGAGTCTTTGTGCTCCGAAAATGACCAGTAATTGGATGACGAGGGCATAACCTTGGGCAAGGCAACTTCCATCCACAAAGGGCAAGTCCTGAAAGATGTTCAGTCAGCTCTGAGCAGTCAGCAGTCAACAAGTCTGTAATGTGGGGTGCGGGCAGAGCGGACTTGTACACATTGGTTGTACACGAAGGACATTTTATGCATCTGCATACTATGCGTGTAAAAATATGTGTGTGTGTGTGTGCGTATGCACGCGCACAGCTTGCATAATTTTGGCTTCATACAAAGCAATTTAGAGCTTAGCAACCTTGTGTTCACATTGCCATTTTCCGGAGGAGAAACTGAAGCTGGAGAGTCGGAGCGATTCGTCCCAGTCCCATTGCGAGTTAGACAGAGAAACAAGAGCAGAACTGTGACAACCACGGGCAAGACAGGGATGCGGTTTACGTGCGCAAGCCCTGGAGCCAAAGATGCGCTGATCTTAATATCACGCCCGAGGGCCTTAAATTATGCCAGGAAGTCCAATTTGAATTTTTGCTCTTCACACCATCCTCTTGGGATGGGAGCAAACAAAGGTTCCACAGAGGATGTGGCCTATGTGAGAAAAGCAACATGCCGGGATTTTGCATTCTTTACAAGGGCTTCATAAACAGCGCCTTTGATCTCGGAAAGCAAATCTGAAGACAGAGGCACCCTTCTGTTCACAAAGCTCTCTTATGCTGATGGGATGGGGTGGGCAGGCGGCTCATCCTATCAAACTCTGTTTCTGGATGAAAGCTTATCAAAGTCTGTAGTGTTTCCAGGGAAAAGCTAAGTCAGCACAATGTGAAGCATGTGAAAACCATACATCATCATGATTTGAGGGGAAAATACAACTAATTTCAGTTTCAAGCCTGCCGAGTCGGGCTCCCTAGGGCCTGCCCCATTGCTGTAGGCACGGTCAGCGCTCCCCTGCTCTGCGGAGCGGCTACTTCTGCAGTGAACACTGCACACGGAAGTCGTCTCTTCTCGTTCACACTCACCAGCAAAGGAAGACTGCCTCGTCCTTCTCTCACTAGCACCTGGAACTCACAGCCACTGAGCAAACTGGTACACGGACTCTAGAACACCCTTGCCTGGAAAACTTCCTCCGTAGCGAGTTTCTGTCCATCATGAGTTACCTGGGGGCTCTCTTCCGAACCATCCCTATATTCTTCCACACGGGCCAAGTATAGAATAAAAAACTCCAAGAAAAAGCCTAACTTGCACAGCAGGAGAGCCAACAAAACATTTTCAAACCACACGGCTGTATTTTGAGCCTTTAAGCAGGCACACTCAGCGGACATACCAACACCGTACATGGTGGGCCCTTCTCCAGCAACCCATTCTTGATAGCTGTGTCTCAAGGTCATGGTGACTGTGGGAGTTATTCCTACGCTTCTAGCAGTCTTCTGCTACCATGTTATCTTTCACAGTAGTATAAGGAGATGTCTACTCAGAAAAACAACCCCCACCTCCAAAAATGCAACTCTGGAATTCAAACGAATGGCATTTCCTCCAAAATAGTTGCTTTGAGGGCCCGTAATGTCCTTATTTTTAGAGGGCTAACACTATTTAGAATCCTTTTAGAAGCCTTTTCATGTATTTTTGTGATAGCAAGGTACTAGACTCTATCAGCACTTCAAAAAGAACACGAAATGATTCCCAATTTTAGGAGCTTGAGGCAATGAATGTAGCCCAGGCATAGTCTAAGGAATTGGGGGGCAGAGGGTTTGCCCTTTAAAGTCAGATTTCATATTTTATAAGACACCCAAACTGATGAAGAGCCAAGTCTGATCTAGAAAGCACACACAGCCAAGCTTGTCAAAAACAATGTGTGACAAAGGAAAGAGGTGAGGCAGATGGTTTTGTGGAATGAATTAGAAAATGAATTCTAAGAGGGAGTTACAGTAAGAACCCCAAGCATGGTGATGTGTATTTGGGGGTAGGGGGACGCCCTTGAGTTGAACCATCAGGTTTAGCTTTGTGATTGCTTCGAAACCACACTGTATACAGTAAAGTCATTTCATCTTGCTCGTGAAATTGAGTTTCTCACTTATTTAAATCATTCATAATATCATTCAATCACTCACTGAGCTAATGTTGACTGAGTACCCACCACACATGGAACAGGAGGGCTATAGTCAGAGATTAAAGAAGCCCATCTGAGGCAAGACAGACATGACTGCCAGCAATCATAATATGGGAAACATTGTAATAAAGGTGTACAGTCACCATGGGGACAGAGAAGGAGAGATTACCTGTGCCTGAGAGCACCGTGAACGATTCTACAGAAAAGGTAAGGATTTAAGATAAATATGAAGTTTTATACAGATAAAGTGGGGGCTGCAGGGACAGTGGGGTCCATAGGAGAGTGGGATATGCATTGCACCAGGGGGCACTGACAATGTGCGTGATACCAAAATGACTCTGTGATAGTTTGGCGCAGAGTTTCAGCTGAAATGTAATACCTTTAATAAAACTATCCCTGCAGTTACAGCAGGAGCTTTGGTTGCATAATGGTCCCACACTGAGCTGAATGCGCAGGCCAGCACTGGGCACCCCCAGCTGCTCCTTGGGAGAGAGATGGAGCTTTCTACTGCCATCAAGGCTGGGAGTCTCAGACACTCACAGGGGTCCTACAGGGTCGCTATGAGTCAGCAGTGAGCTTGGTTTGGGTTTGGTAGTTATCACAATGAAGACACCTTCATATTTTTTTCTAACAGTGTGCTTACAAGGCTAAGATGCTGTACACATAGGCTTTTTGGAGCTTCAAATGTGCTCCAATCAGGTGTCACTATTAACCAGTGACAGTCCTCTTTCCCTGGGCGCACTGGCATGCAGGCATGCATTAGAAGCCCATGCCACTAGTGTTTCTACAGTCACTGTTTTTTTGTTTAAAAAAAAACCACCCCAAAATGATACAAGTTTTAGTTTTTATAGAATCTAGAACGGGTCCATTGGAAAATCAAATAAGGCTATTCTCGATAATTAAATAACTAAACCTGATGTCCCACGGAGAGGAAGGCAGAGTGCTAAGTTTGGGATTTATTTTAACATGAAAATCAAAAGTGTCTCGTAATCAACTAGCTACAGGGGATGCAAGAGAAAGGGGGCTCTAGATGGTACTGGCTTGCAGGGATGGGCAGTTTTAGCATCCTTCACCCAGACATGGAATTCAGCAGGAAAAGAAGATGTCTAAGAAAATGGAGATCAAAGTGAGACTGGTGCAGAGAAGCTGACTGGACCATCAGCAGTGACAAATAATACAGAAGCCAGGGCAACAGACTGGAAGGCCCATGGCCCAGGTAAAGAACAGAAAGCCAGAAAGCCAAATGATGGAAGGCACCCTGGGAAACTACTGGACCACATGTGGTGCACTGGGAGTGGGGAACCAGGACAGGCAAACTAACTTTATTAAGCCGGGGGGCGGGGAGAGGGAGGGGGTACGTTTGAATAAGCTCAATGAAAGAGTTGGTATTCAAGTGTACAGAATTTGGCAATCAGCATGTAACTGGTGACATGACTGAGCACCTGCTCGCTCGATGTGACTGTGAATGTGGACGTCAGACCCAAGTGGACTGGAAAATGAATGGGAAGTCAGGAGGATGACTCAGGAAGAAAGCAGGCCTCTTTCTAGAACCGTAGACAAGGTAAAATGAAGGGACGAAGTAGTGTAGAGGTGGGGTCCAAGGGGAGTCATGCTACTTCACTTGCGTCTACTAAGGCTAAGCATAAGGGAGCCTATGGCCCAGACCTACTGTCAAAAGGAGCGTGACACTAAGGAAGCCCATTCATGCAATGGAATATCAGCCAGCAAGAAGAGCCAACCACAGGTTATCGGCAACATGGATGAACGGCAAATGCTGGAGCCCATGGGAAATCAGCCAGACCCCAAAGTCTATATGCCATGTAACTGCACTTGAAGCATTTTAAGAAACTAACTTTAAGTTGTTCCAAACCAGAAGAGTGGTGGCTTTGGGGGGGTGGGGGAATTACTAGCTGGAGAGGGCAGGAAATGTTCTATATCTTGATCTGGGTGACACTGGCAAGGCTGTCTCCCCAGGTGAAAATGTCTTACGCTGACCCCTAAGATGAGTGAACTCTAGGTACTTGACCTTGCTCCATACTGCAATAAAAAAGTAAGCAAAAAGCAACAAAGCAACAATCATGAAAAACTGCTTGAGTGGGGCGAGAACCACTAAGATGATCTGAAAATCATCGCCAAGTCACAGTGACTCTTGAGTCGGCCGGGGAATATTTGACAATAATCTGCTTCCCAAGCAAACCAAACTCACTGCCATGTGCCCCTGCCTATTCACAGCGACCCTACCAGCCAGCACAAAACTGCCCCTGTGAGTTTCCCAGACTGTGAATCTTTGCGGGAGTCTGAAACCCTGTCCTTTTCTAGAATAACCTGCATACCAGTCATTCACAAACCCATCGGTCAGGAGAAAACCTTGCTCCTACGGGCAACCCTGTCAGGGTCTTCACTACTGACCGTCTATCTGGAAGTACTGCCAATATCCCTCTGTGTGCAATCTATCCGGCCCACTTGGACGGATCGATGGATTACCAAAGCAGAGGAGTGTGCCGCCTCCCACTTCTCATACATCCAAAGAACACAAGTACTGTCTCTAGTCACTAGGGTAGGAGAGCAATTTAGAAGGCAAGTTTGTATCCATCAGAATCACAGAAGTTTGAGAGACTCCTCTCTGAATTTTTATAGCATAGACAGTGGTAGAGAAATGGCAGCTTTATTATTAAATATATTTCACCCCCATTTCCAAAATTCTTATATATGTCTCATCTTTATCCATTCTTTGGACAAGATTGTGTGCGTGTAAGGTGTGTAAGGTATATGTGCGTAGGGGAAGAGGGGATATTAAGCCTCCAAAAGAGATTGTGTATTTGCTATTAAAGGGCTAACATGGTCAGAGATTCATTTGCAACTAGGGTATTTTATTTCTATGAAACATTCTGGGTAAACCTTACTAGTTTTGAAATCTTTACTTGGGGAGTAGATTTTAACAATATTTATATTTAGATTGGGACCAAAAGGAATTTATTATGAATCCCACTACTTTATTTGTTTGTTTGTTTGTTTTTCTTTCCATTTAAATCCCACTCCTTATAAGTCAGTGCTTTGGTAAGTACTATGGTACTTGCTATGTCATTATATAATATACAAAAATAATAGTAATACTCACCATTTTGTCTGGTACCGACAGCAGCAATGATCACTGGCACAGAATTCAATGCTCTCTTCATCACAGGAATATAATTATCCTTGACTTCATGGAATGAGAACTTGTCATTTACATTGTATTTTATCACGATGATGTCAGCACTTCCAATCAGATTCCGAGAGGTGTACCAATCGCTGTCAAAAATATCCTAAACCCAAAAGGCAAAAAATAGTTGTTAGCTTGCTTGACATGAATTCAATCACAAAACCAATGGAAACAGGAAATGCTTTGCTCCATCTTAATTTGTACAATTCTTTGTGATTATTAGATGTTTCAAAAATGACATAAAATTTTAGATGTTTGAAGTTGGCCAACTTTTTCCCACGTTTAATTTTTTTAATTATTCATTTAGCCTTAAGGAGTGGGAGTGGGAAATCACTTGTAAAACAGAAGACCTAGAAAATCCCTGAGATTCTGATAAACGCTTTTTTAATATTTATATTCAACTTTTTTTTTTTGCCTTTAAGATTATTCTGTTTTAATCCCAGGCATGGAAATCCCAAATATGCAATACCATGACCTCAGAGACAATGCATCGGTATAAATATAGACACGTCAAAGGATATTTACCTCTGTTGTATACTACAGGATTTTTCAGTGTTTTTACATGGTATATCAACTATGAACTCTGTTATTCCATAGAGTTCTCATCTGTATTTCCAAAATTCATATATATGTTTCAACTTTACCCATTCTTTGGATAAGACAATATATGTGTAGTGTTTGCGTACGTGGGGTGGGGAGTGAGAGGGGGAATCTTATGCCTCCAAAATAGAATTTGTGTTTGTTATTAAGGGGTTAACATGGTAAGAGATGTATTTGCAATTAGTGTACTGCAAATGCATATGAAAAGATCAGGCTAAATCTTGCTAGTTTTGAAATCTTTACTTAGAACTACATTTTAACAATATTTAGATTGAGATAAAAAGAAATGTATTACAAATCCCACTCCTTGGAGCTCAGTACTTTGATGTTGTACATAGGCATTTTAAAGTAGTTTTCCACACTTGATTAGCACATTGGTCTGCTAACCACAGGTCAGCAGTTTGAAGCCAGCAGCCTCTCCTTGGGAGAAGAGGCTTTCTCCTTCCAGGAAGGGTCAGTCTTGGAAACCATCCAGGGCAGTTCTACTCTGTCTTGTAGGGTCTCTATGAGTCACAATCAACTCGCTGTGATTTTGGTTTTAGTCCTACAAGGATATATCTTTATGTCTCATAACATCAGTGACACATACATCATCCACAGCTTGAATCTAATCAAGTTAACTTTTCATCACTGTTTGCTGCCATGTGTTTCTAGGGCATAACAGAACTTGATAAAGGGTTAGACAACTGGATGTGACTAATGGGTCTGAAAATTGTTGGACTGTTGAAAGTGTGGGCTTTGGAACATGATTCTAAATCTGGATAACAGCATGTGAAGCAATCGGTCCATCACCATCTGCGTGACAAACCTTTGCTCTGAGGGGCACTAGCAGGAAACACCCTTGCCTTTGAGATCTGCCTCTCCAGGGGCTCCCCAGCCACCTACAACCAAACTTACAAGCAAACCTGTGGCCATTCAGTTGATGGCAGTAGGCTTCCTAAGGCTGCCATCTCTGAGGAAGCAAACTGCCACACCTTTCTCTCAGGGGCGGTGGTGGGTTTGACTTTTCAACTGCGGCCATCCGGGCTCTTTGCCCCCTGCAAAGCTTCTTCCCATTCCTTTGGGAAGTCTTGCTTCCCAAACTGCCTATCTCCACCCCCACCCCCACCCCCAGCACACACAGAGTCAGAGGACTGCACAAGTTTTAGATATGAATACCCTTTGGAAAGTGGGACCTATAGATTGGCTGAAGGAAGCTTAAGCCAGTCAAACACTGGCAAACTGTGGGATAAAAAGACCAAGGGCAAAGGCTTGCACAGGGCGGAGGATGCAATAGTGGGTGAAAGTAGAGGGAGACACAGGGCAGGGCAATGTGCAAGCTTCCCAGCAAAACTCTACCCAAATTTGCAAATCCCAAACCACGAATCCCCTTCAGTTGTAACTGGGTCGGCCTGATTTGTCCATTTCCAACATAGAAGTGTAACAAAGTATCCAAGTGGCACAAAGAGTGTGGGGAAGTTAGCTGAGCTGGCCATGAAATTAAATACAAAGGAGAGCAAAGTTTAACAGCCATTTCATACTGCAAGAACAGAAGTGAAAGAGAAAAAAAAAATTCTCTGAGCATTCCAGTTACCAGAAAAGTATACAGTGAGAAAGGAAACTTTTAAGGGAAAAATGTCTTGAGAAAATGGATTTGGGCATCATTAATAGCACGGAATGGAGAATAGAAAGATCATGATTATATGCATAATACAACCCAGAGTTTCAAATACTGCATACACACACACACACACACACACACACACATTGTTAATGCATTACCTCACTGCCTCTATGGAGGTTTCTGGTAAACAGGAAGAGGCAGAGAAATGCAAAAAGAAATACTAATGTAACCATACGCAGGAAAAGGGAGTGGGTGGGAGAGAGATCTACTAAATAATGAGCTACAGCTAATGAATGGGAAACATATTTATTTGAAAAGCGCCAAGGACGCAGGGCAAGGAGCCAGAGGCAGGCTAAGGACCTACAGAGGAGAAGCACAACTATCTCATTCCAATTCTCAAACAACACATTTCTTGTCCAACTAGGTCCAAGAGAAAGTGGTTTCCAGAATGATGAAGGAAAAGAGGTTCTCCTACCCTTGGTGAACCAGCTCCAGGATTTCCTCCAGGGGCTTATGCAACACAAGGCATGGAGTCACACTTAGGGAACTGAACCTAACTTTTATAAGTCATTTTTAAATCACTTGGAAACATCTTTCAAGCAATTTTATTCTACTTGACTATGCAACTATAACTATTACTAACTGGAAATGTGTGCTAACATCGCTGCTGCCTCAGTGTACTTTGTGTAGATAATGATTGATGAGCAAGAAAACTTGATTCTTGCTTTGTGTAAGAGATCCGGGACTAGACAAACCAAATTCATCGCCATCATGTCAATTCCAGCTCATCATAACCCCAAGGCGACAAAGTAGAACTGCCCCCTTTGGATTTCTGGGGCTATAAACCTTTAAGAAAGCAAAAGCCCCACCTTTCTCCCTCGGAGCTCCTAGTGGTTTCTAACGGCTGACCTTGCAGTTAGCCCAACAAGTAACCTTAGTAAGCCAGAACAGTACAGAATAGTGCCTGGACTGTATAGAAACACTGTGAGTCAGAATCATCTTCATAGCAGAGTTTGGGGTTTGGATCTCATGTAACCCTTCACACAGCTCTGGGAGACAAGAATATAAGACTGCGAGAAGATGAGTGGCAACCAAGGACACACACAGCCATTCAGTAGCAGTGTATGGTTTTAAAATCAAGTCCTTTTGATATCCAAATCTGTGCTCTAGCTGCCTTGCTATATTTAATATTCAGATTCATTTTACATACATCAAGTATCAGCTGATAGATATAATGAACTTTGGCACCTCTGATGGGCTTTCCTTACCACCAGAAGAAAAAAGCACTTTATAAAGATTAACCCTAGAAATCTACCATTATAACCTGAACACTTGCATCTCTTTACAAACGCAATGTTTCAAGCAGGCCCTGGGTTGAACCAAAGAAAAAAATGATTAACATGATAAACCATAACAATCGGAGAGTATGGCAAAACGCCAGACTAAAGAGGCTGATATGATCCATATGAAAGATTTCACTGTGTGTACCCTAGACATGGGGTCACAGTGTTTTATTTATTTTTGGCTAAACTAGCAACATAAACAGGAAGGAGTCATAGCTCAAACTGGGGTGTGGGGCAGGAAAGGCAACTCTACCATCCGAAATCAGCTTGTTTTATTTCCCTACATTTATTTACTCTACTCACTCATTATGTGTTCAATTGTATGCTGATCCAATAAAAGGGGGCAGACTCTAAGAGTCTTCACAACAAAGGGGTTGCGCCAAAAGAGGTGTCTCATTTGGTTGACTATCCACACAAGTTTTAACAAGTTATCTATCAATACTTTTTATGATCAGTATCATCACCATCATCATTAGGGACTTAATTATGGAAAAGACATGGTTTTATTTATTGTTAGCTTCTGGTTTTTGTTTGGTTTTTTCCTTGGAGTGAAATTCAAGTCATAGCAGCTGTGGAATGTCCTGACACTAGTATTTACAGAAGCAGACGACCAGGTCTGAGTTGCTGCGGATTCAAGCCAGTGGATTCAAACAGTGGACCATCTGCTCTAGTGAAGATTACAGCATTGGCAACCCTATGGGGGAAGGTCTACTCTATCGTACAGGGTTACTAGAGTTGGAATGGCTCAATAGCACGCAATAGAAACAATGAACTTTCCAATAGCTGACAATTCATACAGGAAGATGATGTCTTTTCTGTAATATGGAAACTATGTAAGGAATGTTCTATTTAACTTGTCTACATTTCTTTAGGAAGATGGTACTCTTTCCTTATGACTCCGGACTCCAGGTGTTTCGTTTGTTGTTTTTTAATTGCTGTTTGAATGTAAGACTCTCATCTGATACTAATCTATATTTTCTTTTCAAACCTGAATGTTCTTCCATTATAAAATTCTATCTTAAACTTCAATTATAAATCCAATATCAGAAAATATCAGAAAATTCCAGATATTAAATAATATCTACAAAGTACTAAAAATACTAAAAGAATATCATTTAGTATCTGGAATTTTCTGATACTTTTCTTAATATACGAATGCCATATTCAATCAATATATGGAATTACATCTTGAAAACTTTTAGGTGTGAGGAAAGATTCCCTTCTCCCTTTATCAAATATCAGGAATTAATTGGAACTGGTCTACTGTTACTATTTCTTTCAATTATTGCAAAATTTACAAAGAAAAAAAAATTCTAAGCAGCATCAAAAATGTTCCCTGAAAGAATGGTCATTATGATTCAAAGAAAAACACTAAAATTTTCAGAAGTGGATCCTAGAAATGAGTTACTTGAAGTTAATTCACAACCTGCCCCTTCCCCACCTCCCCCATTTCCAGGGATCCTATTTCCAAAGGGCTCCGTGAATACATTTTCACATTATCATGAAAAAGCATTGCTCCCTGCTGCTGCTGCTGGTGAATCCCTTGGGGTTGGCACAGTCGGCAGTGGTTGGCTACCCAGGGACAACCCACAGTAGTAGAGTGGAGAGTAAGCGCTCCACGTGCCCACTGGGGCTTTTTGCCTCCCAGGAGTATTCTGCGACTAGGAGTATTTCGTCTGCTCATTGAAACAAAGAATCAGGGAGTTCCCCCCAAAGTGTTTTACAACTCTACTCAGGTGACTGACCCAGGCGCCCCGCATTCATGGAAGGGGGCAAAGGGAAAAGGGGGGTGGGGGAGGAGGAGAAGGCAAAGCCTCCTGCTGCGGCCTAGGCACAGAGCAGCTGCTGCCCCTTACCCAGACAGGGCAGTCGTGGACAACCAGCTTGACGTTCCCAAACGCGCTGGCCTGATACTCGGTGAACACCGGCCGCGCCACCGTGCTGGTGGCGTTCAGCAACAAGCTGCTTTCGTCCCCGGAGACCAGAGGGCTTCTCCCCAGGTAGGTGCGGATCAGCCCCGACGGCCGATTGTCCTGATGAAACGCGTCGCCCTCGTTCCCCAGCGCCACGATGTGAATAGACCTACACGGGCGGAGCAGGGAGCGAGGGAGAAAAGACCACGGTCAGCGCGACGGTGCACTTGGATCGGCACAGGAAGCGCGGGGGCCCGGCGGGCGGGCGAGCGCGCGGCGAGGGTGGGCACGAGCCCCTCGCCCGGGGCGCACGACGCGCGGTCGGGATCCGGACAATGGCAGGAGGCGACGCGTACGTACATGATCCCGAATCCAAGGGCAGGGCGGCGGCTCCGAGCAAAGCGGCTTCTTCTCACTGCCTCTCGGGGCCCGTCGGTGGCGAGTGGACCCGCAATCCGCTCATCCCCGGCCGAGCCCTCCCCGCGCGCCTCCACCC